AGATCAGCCATATTAATTCATCTCACTCAAAATAGTCTGCAGTCTTACTAATATAACATGTTTAATGATGGATTTCTGTTACCCTCACTCACCTGGAACAGAAGAATGAGATTTCTGACATGAATGCTCAAAATCAACCACGAGGTATCTTATTTCTTGAAGATTTATTATAAAATCATCAAATGCTCTTTGACCGTAAACCTACAGAAGACAGCAATCATATATGTAAATTATTTGCAATTCATGTTTTTTTTTTACAATTTGGACTCGCCCACTTTGCCGCAGATTTGTTAAATTAATACCATGTTCAAGATGCAGCACAGTGACCTAGCCCAACTCACAATGACTCCCCCTTTGTCCTTTTAAAAAATTTGAAAATGTGCAATCATTTTTTTAAATGATCTTTCACTTAAGATACATTTTTCTTTCTGCAGTTATGTACAAACTGAAGTTTGGTATGCTAAATTTTTGTTGTTTTTTCTTCTTGTTTGGTCAACACTTTACAACTGTACATTGAGCGCTTCAAATAATGGCTTAGTAATATTATACTCCATTAATACTAAAACACTAAAGATACTAACTTTTATGGTTTTGTAATAAATAAAAGAAATGTACTTTTCTGTAGGTATTGCACAGGTGGGTCAAAGACATTGGGAATTAAAAAAAAATTAAATAATAATAAAAAAAAAACAAGGTCACTCATTTTGCATGTACACCATACAGCACTTTCAAAACTAAAACAGGGGCAACATTCTGACATGAGGTGGAATGTAAATGCTCTTTTTGTTATTAAATATACATAAACATGAAATGGAGGGTATTGGGAACAAAATATAACAAATTTGCCACCTGTTTTAGTTTCATGCCAAACAGTTTCATTCATAATGGGTGAAACACCAACAAATATTTATAAGCATTTCACAGTTCTGTCAGTGCCCAATGCAACTGCTCTAAGCCAGTAGAGTGTAACTTGGGGCGCAAAGGAACATCACCCCTTACATAGCACCTGATCGCTCTTTAATAAATAATGAGGTTCATTAATACAAACATAAAAAAACATTACCAACTACAGTTGCCACAAACATTTAACAATTCAATGTACACAACCGTAACTAATTATTTGCACATTTTCATGGTTCAGACCATGACAATTTTCATAATGTTTGCATTCCAAGTTACACCTTACATGTAATACACTGCACACCAGATACTAACGCAGAGCAACAGTAAGGGTGCCAGTGTGTTTGATTCATGCACAGTGCCTGCTGCTTGCCATTTCAATGAAACCTGATTCATTCATTTACAGAATAACTTTTTTTTTTTCTTATTGAAATTGCCAAAATCATCTTTTGTCCCAATAAAACCACCTGCTACACATCACAACCTTGCCCCACCGAGAAAAAAAGAATATGCAAAAAGAGTAATAATAATAATAATAATTCCTTTCTTCAGCTTCATAAAAAAGTTTACAAGTACTTGAGATCTTTCATATATAGTATTAATTAATTATATTACTTCATACAGGAAACCAAAAAGTGCAAGACATATTTTTTAAGTTTTACAATGTTAAGAAAAACCATCACTGATTCCTTTGTGTGTGTATATATATTTTTCATATTCAAATAGCTTGTGTAGCTTACTCATAGGTAAGGGGGTAAAAAAATTATTTCTAAATAACCATGAGTACTTTACATTTCCAAACATCTCTCCTTTCAGCACTTGAATTTACACTCTCATTATAAGGGCAGATGAAGGGAAGGGAAGGTTTGATTAAAACTGTAACCTTGGACTGAATCAATGTCATTGATCGTTTAAAAAAAAATCACTGAAGCTACCTACCTACAGGTCACTCTCATGAGTATGGGTTGTCAGCCTTGGTTAAAAAAATTACAATACCTTGGACAAGGGGGCTGGGAGGGGAAAATTCTACATCCTACAATACAACTTTGAACTTCCAAAGCTAATTATCAACTAACTATACAAATGCTTGTCTCTCCTCTTCAAATTATGATAAATGTAAACAAGGTGTACCTTTAAAGAAAAGAGCACACTGAGTTTATAAGAAATAATTTCAATGTTGCATTCCATTGAGTTTGTAATGCTAACAATGATTGGTTCTATTATCCCTTATGTAATGAACATTACTTCATTTTTAGCTATTCACTTAAATGTTTCCATTGTACGAACGTTCATTTCGCTTAGTCTCGTATATGGAGTTACATTTTGTAAAATAAAATTAACAAACAGCACGTCAACTGATGCACCACTATTATTTTTTAGTTTTCATATACAACATATTTTATTTCCTTTTAATTTATAGTCGTTCACCACTACTTTGCACAAAGTCTGCACAAAATACACAGCCTTGCTAAGCCAAATACTTGGATTGTTGTTAATCAGCTTCTCCTCCCTTGATACTAAACTTCTTCTGTCAGTTCTCCCCTGGCCCACCCATCCGTAAGTGGCACCTTGCATGTTCAGTGGTACTGGCATCATTTGCACATCTATTTACATGAAAAAGGTAGTGACACAGTAGCAGTAATACAAGTAACAGTAGCTGTTGTCATCATAACGGTGAGGATAATAGCAGAAAAAAGTAAAGAGTGATAGTAGCGGTAGTGGTGGCGATGTAGATGGTGACAAAGGTGTTATGTCACCGTCACAGTAGAAGACAAGAAGAAAAGGTTTCGGCAGTGTAAGTCGTCTCAATCAATATGGTAATCTACTCAACCACACACCTAAATGTCTCCTCCAAACCACTTGAAATATATGAACATTCAACACACGAGATAAAGAGACGCAGGAGGGAAACAAGTTCATAACTGGATTACAAATGAAGTCAATTTTACAATTTTCCTTGAACACAATATTTAGAAGTTTGTTTCCACACCACACAAAATTTGTACAGAGGCTTCCCCTCTCTTCATCTCTTAATACTTTTATATTAAATGACACACCTCAATTTCCAACACTGCACAAAACTGCAATGAGGAAAATAGGTACTGAATTATTCACATAAAAAATTCCCATAATTTAAGTACTTAGATATACATACACACCTCCACTACTACAAATGTTCCACGTATTTGGAAAGCTTGTCCTGAGGAGTCATATCACTGGGATCACCTCCCCCAGATGTGGGCCCCTGACCACTAGATCCCGCTGATCCAGGTGGGGCACCTGCAGGGGAGGGGTGGTGAGGCATACCTGCCCCTGCTCCATGTTGCTGTCCTCCACCACCTCCTGACAGCTGTGAGAGCATCATTTCACTACTACTGCCCAAGTCAGGTGGGTGATGCGCAGGAGAATGAGTAGGTGTCACATGTGGGGGTGGGGGATGATGGTGTGGGGATGGAACAGGTCCTGCACCACCACGCGGGGAGGGTACAGGCTGGTTGCGTGGAGAAGGTACAGGCCTCGGCGACGGATTGGGCTGAGGTGACCGAATGGGAGGAGGGGATCTCACAGCCTGCATTAATTGCTGCTGCTGCTGCACGGATATGCCAGCAGCCGTGCCTGTTCCAGGAGGGGGGCCCATCATCATGGCTCCTGCACCTGCCCCCTGGGGTGATGGGACAGGTGGTGGCGTTGGTTTCAGTCCAGGTTGCTGCTGCTGCAACACTTGCTGTGTCACCACTGTACCCGGCTGCTGTACATACTGTGTAGGCTCAAAACCAACACTAGAGTAACTGACAAGATGCCCTTGCTGTTGCTGTTGCTGCCTGCCTGTTGGAAGTCTCTGTTGCTGAACATATGGTGGAGCAGGCGGCTGCTGGAATGGACCAGGTTGTTGTTGTTGTTGTTGTTGCTGTTGTTGCTGCTGCTGTCGCTGCTGCATGCTGAGCAGCTGCTGCTTGTACCACTGCTGGTGTGGCATCATCTGCTGGCCTTGCTGTGGCAGCACAGAACCCTGCTGCTGTTGCTGCTGCTGATTAAGCATGGCCTGCATCTGCATGCGACCTTGCTGCTGCTGCTGCTGTTGTTGTTGTTGTTGTTGTTGTTGCTGCTGCTGCTGCTGCAGCTGTTGCTGCTGGGGGGACATCATGTGCTGGAGCTGCTGCTGGTGTCCACCTCCTGCCTGGCCTTGCTGCTGGATAGTTTGCTGCTGTTGATTCTGGTATACCTGACGTTGCTTGATGAATGCAGCCATGAGCTGAGGGTTGCTTTTTAATATCTGAAGGATCTGTTGCTGTTGTTCTGGTGTATTAGGTGATTTGAGCGTCTGAAGGAGCTGCTGAAGTGCCTGTTTCTGCAGGGCAGGTCCTGCAGCTCCAGGCATGCTGCCCCCACTAGTTGGCGGTGGGCGGATACTGATGGGAGGGATTGGTCCACTGATGTGACTGCCTGTTAACATGCTTGGCTGGGTGGGTTGAAGGTGTGGTGGTGGTTGCTGCTGCTGCTGCTGCTGAATTGCTTGTGGTGTAGTCTGACGCATGCCCGTGTTCTGCAGTGTTGCATTTGGAACATACCTATGGGAAAAATATGAACAGTAACAGATTGCACGTTCTAGAATTAGTTTTGTTCAAGATTATCTCAAAACGAAAAATCATGGTACATTCATGATGTTTCTAGAACAACTGTCAGTAAAGCAAAGTAAAAAGCAAAACAAATTGTACATGTGCTTAACTAATTAAGCACTATGCCATGAAGAAGTATGGGGGGTGGATGTATAGATCTTGAGATCAGCACTAGTTGGAGATGACTGCAATACTGACATTCTCTCATGATCACAGTGCATATCTCTGAGGCACAGTTCACATGTCTTTAATGTGAAGAGTATAAATGGCTATCAATTTGGATTAAAAAAAAATGCCTGCTTCCCTCTTCTCAGCTATGGTGCATACTAATAGGCCATTAAAGCAGAATATCTGACCATTCTTTTTAGCAACATTTTAAATTACTGTTCAAAGTTTTCAACTACTTCCTTATGCATGTGTATCAGTGACAACAGGGGGCAGCCAGTATCATGAGTCTATTCCCAATCTTTTTTTTTTGATTGTGCAGCACACTACCCCTATTTAAGTAAAATGTCTGTGTATCTACTACCGTTTTATTACAACTGCTGAATGAACAAATTTCCATAGGAAAGCAGCTCTACTTATAACATGTCAGTCACTGATGAAATACAATTTACATTACAGAACCTCATGTTATGGATACTTTTTCTTTGAACACATCCTTTACGTAAAGTGGGGGCATCCCATAAGTCATGTGACCCAAGCCTAGGAACAGAGCTTATGCATTTAACAGTTTCATGATACTTCTTGATTTCACCATCTCCCCAACAGCTCTGAGATTCTTAACATACTGTCCTCACCCAGCTGATGGTTGGGAAACCACCAGTGCTGGTACTGCAAGTGCCAAGAAGACTGCAGTGGTGGACAAGACAAACTGACGTCAAGATTGTAAATGGCCACAGACAGTGAATGTTCCAAAACATGTCACAATATCCTCACAATAGATTTCCCCAAGATTCATCAATTAACATGGACACTACACCACCTGAGTCTCAAAATGGATACTTCCTATGTATTCTAAATCGCAAAATTTTATACTGCACTCTATCTAGATCCAAATACCTTCCCTAGACTTTAATTTCAAACACTTGTAATTTGTCTTCTTCCTTCAACGTAAAATATGTTTCATGTCATCACAAAAAGGAGGGGAAATTACTGCATTACATGAATTAGCTACCCAGCAATCGTCATCAAAAGCAGGCTGGAATATTGCCACTGTAGATAGAACAGTTTGAAGAGGTAAAGCCTGGAACATGTGTGAATGAATACACACTCATGCACATGAACACACACACACAAAAAGAGCAAAATTGACACAAATCTGAGAAGACACCCTCACTCCACACATGGAGGCACAAACAGAGCTATTTTCTTGCAACATTTTTAAACTTAAGGTCAGCAGACAATGGTGACCATAAAATACACTGCAACATTTAAATTACAGTCTTCTGGGCTTTGACACCATGTCAATGGTTCGCAGGAACCTACAACATACAATGAACATACCTCCACTGGTCTATGGTTGGAATTAAATGCGGATTTGACGGGCCAATGGGACCCACTGGTGGTCGCTGCATCTGTGGGGGTGGCATCACCTGAGACTGTCCTCCAATGGCTCCCAAAGGAGTGACTTTGCCAGAATATCCAGTGTGAGGAGCTTGCTGTCTCGCTGCTTCCTCCTGAACCTATTATGAAAATATCATTTAGCACAAACAGAAAAGTACAGCGGAACTCTCATATAAGGGCGCGTTTCCATGGGGCGTGACACGCTAGCGTGAGGCAGGTATTCGTGAGTACGACCCATGTGAACGAAGCATCATGGAAATTCTTATGACGTCACAGGCAAGAGTGAGGGCTCACGCTTCACATCAGACATGTTTGATTTTCAGTCGTGTTTGCCTCTACCATGTCTACACCTGATCGGGTCATAAAATTACTAGAAAGGGAAACGTGTTCCAGAAGGAAATCAAATTGGTCTTCAGACACTCGTAGTAAGTTCTTGAAATCATCTGGGTAACTATTTCTGAGTTCCATGTCAACCAAATTATGTGGCCCTAATTTCCTCTTTAGAATCCACTTCCTAACCCACTATCGCCTTTTCTTCCGTTTTCCTTTCATTTCCATCATCTGATTCATTCTCTGCGCTAAAATAGGAGCAAAAACTGAACTCACAACAGCACAACTTTCTATGAGGAGCTCGTTCATGGTTGGCTTTCCGCAATCAACTGAATCACGTCTTCATGGACACTTCAGCCAGTGTGAACTACTCACGACCAACGACTGGTGGGTTCACGCCTGCAAATTCACGAAAGCAAGTACGAAAGCGTTGCACGCTTTCGTATCCACACCCCGTGGGAACGTAGCATAAGGTTTCTGAGGAGCAGTGGAACTGAACACTGAAATGAGGAAATTCATCTGATGGACATGTAACAATGAGCGTGACTTTCATTATCTAAACAGCTGACCACATTTTATCAACTACAAGTGTAAAGAATATATGGTATGCTCAGTTAATTTCCTTTTTAAACCCAATGATGCAAATCAAGTGGGGAATTATAAAAGTAAAATCAACATGCAGAAACAGGACATAAAATAAAGAACTGACAAATAAACTGCACCTTACATATAACTAAATTACATTTCTTTATAAAACGGTACACAACCTAATGTAAAACTATAAATTTCCCAGCAAAATGCTGTACCAGAAGTGAAGTCCAAACAGAGGATTGTTAAACATCAGACATTGGTTTTGTCTGTCTGTCTATGTGTGTGTATTGCTGGTGTGGTGGTAAAAGTGAATAAGCAGCACTGACAGAATATCTGGCAGGACAAAACCCTAACACTTGGAGAAACACCCACAACAGTGCAACTCTCCCCATAACTAATTCCACACGAGTTCCAAAGTAAGACGACTTCATATGTCCACCTGACCTTTTACACTGTACAAGAATTTAGATAAGAGTTTCAATTTACAAAAAAAATGTATTTAGTACCAAAAAGAGATTGGTAATACTGAACAGTAAAATAACATTCAAAATGCAAATTCAAAGTTAAAAATTTCAAAACTCTTCTAGAATTCCTCACTGTTTTGTTAAATGGGTATCTTAATTGTGCAAATACTTTTCTTGACTGACCTGCTTAACAACTTGCAGTACATTGGCAGGCGGTGTCTGCGTGCCAGGTTTGCTGCCAGCAGGTTGGTGCGGGGTCTGGAGGCTCACCATGTTGCCTACACCTGGCTGGCCACTCATTACTCCAGTCTGTCCCACTGCCCCACCTGCCAGGACACCTCCTGGTCCTCCTGTATTTGAGTTGCCTGGCAGAGCACCAGATGGCACATTGGACCGTGTGTTCATTACTGCCATGCGGCGTCTTAACAGCTGAGCTTGCTGTAACCTCTGTTGCAGTTGCTGCTGTTTTAGTTTATGCTTGATATTCAAGCAGAATGGCACAGGACATTTTGTTTCCTGCAAATGTGACAAATACAGATCAGTGAATCACTCGGAAATGAGATGTTATTTCACCTGGATAAAGGACAAATGTTTCTGAGGAACCTGCTGCCTCCATCTTCAGAACAGAGATAGATATGAGGCTGCAGGTTCCTTCGAAATGTTGGTACCTTTCTACCAGATGACGTGGTGCCACATCCCGGAAAGCAGTAATTTTCAAAGTACATGGTACCCTGCAAACAACAACTATTATTCTACACATAGCAAAATCCACTTTTAGCATTTCTGGAGGGAAGGGGGGGGGCAGAAGACCAAAACACTAAACTGTCGAAAACCATACATGGAAGTACATCAGATATAATAATACCATCAGATCAAAATATCCTTCTGCAAATAACACTGCACTAACTCCAAAATAAAATTATACATAGAGCTGCTAAAAAAGAGCAGCACAAATATTTTTGTTACAAATGTGAAACTTTANGCAGGAGCCGCGGCCGCGGAATTTAAATGACCACGTCAAAGGGTTAATTCTAACTCCTTCATGGCATAACCACACAGGTGGATAATGGTATTTCCCCTTTAATCCCCGCCCCAAACACAACAATTCAATTATTAGGTGATGGCACTGTGAAAGATGCAGGGAAGAGTTGTTCTGTATGTCATGTGGTGACCAACAGAAAGTGAGACACAAAGTCTTTAACAAGCCAATTTATCTGTCTCGAAAGAGCGGAGATGACTGTGATGTTCAGAAGGCGAGAAACCCGGTGGTGGGAATGGGAGAAGCAAGAATAGAGCAAGGGAGAAGAATGACAGGAAAACAAGTGAGAAGAATTAGCTGCAAAAGATCCAGATCTAATCTAAAGAGGTCTACATCAGGCAATGAGACAGAAATTATAAGGGGGGGGGGAGGTCAAGCTATCCCTGTAAGAGGCCGTGAAGGCCCATAGGGTTGTGAGACGTTGAGGCTCCCACATTATCTAGACAATCAGCTCAAAGATGGCAGTAAGGTTGTCAGCCTTACATGCCAGCTGTGCTTTACTCCATAGGAGATTTAATTAATTCTTGGTAGCCATTTCTGTTACAGGCCGAGTAAACCCTAGGGCCTAGTGTGGCTGGAAGGATTAGGTCAACTGAAAAAAATCCAATGACCTCATTGAGACTTGAACCCACGACCTTCCGGCTTGTAGCATAGCCCCCCAACCACTACGCTACAGCGAGCCCCGGCAGAGACCATAGGAACTGTTAAACCGGGGACTCTTCTCTGTATCTTCGGGGTCAAATTATGATAACAATTCTCATACTCTCAATACTTACTTGGCAATGCTTGGCATGGTAACAACAGAGGGCAATGAGTTGCTTGCAGATTGGACAACCTCCATTTGTTTTTCGTTTGCAGATCTTTGTGTGCTGAACAACACGTTTCATTTTCTGACAGCTCGGTAAGCGACAATTAGCATCACGGCACTGACAAGCATGCACCAGGGACTGTATGCAGCGTTGAATTGACAGCTTTCTTGCTTCCTATAAACCCAAAAATACATTTCATAAATGAAATGGACCGAGTTTAGAAGAAACACTTCGGATGGCTGAGCACAAAAAAGGATTTATATACACACAATAAAGTAAATGTAAAGGTGTCTGTGCTTCATTAATCAGCATGTCATGGATATGCATGAGGTGAGGAGCTGCATCTTTCTATTCATAAGAGATAAGTGGTCAAGTTCATACAGGGCTGCTCTAACCCAGTCTCTGGCACCCACTGCACAAGAGGCTGGGTGAAAACCCAGACAGGTATGGAGATGTTGAAAGAGAACAATCTCTATCCTACCTAAAAATCAAATATTGATTCTCTGGTCTTTTGGCCCATAATCCAGTCAGTATAGTAACTAAAGTTGGTTTACGGTCCACATATGCTCCTGTCAAGGGAGCTGGGATTTTGTTCTTCATAACCCTTTAACTCCACGGAAGAGATACCACATTATGGGGGGGGGAAAAAAAACAAATTTCCTCTGAACTTCCCATGTATGTGAAAATAAAATCTCTTCTTTCTCGGTGATGTGACCAAGATTGTACAGCTAAACTGGAAGCACGCAAACCCAAGGAAGGATTCTTTAAACTTAAGATCAGCGCTGAAAGGACTGTAAGCTTCGCAGGGGGCATTCATTAATCAAAAACTGAAACTGATGTCTCACATTATCAATTAAAGATTCACAAGGAATTACTCTGAATGAAACAATTGTGACAGTTATGAATACAGTGAGAACAAAACAGAATATCAATAACAATGGAAGGTTTCCTGTATATACCACAACTACATGTAAAATATAAATATTATGGGGTGATGATAATGCATAGGATCTTAGAAAGTGTGCAAAAGAAAACCTGCTTACATTGTACAATTACACATGTTTATAACTTCATAAAGCCGAAGAATGTAGCGAACGAGGACTGATTATACATACCTGAGGATTAGCCTGTTTCTGATCTGATGGGGATGAACCATCATCCAAATCTAGTCCCAGCTTCTCCATTTTATGTGGATGACCATCCTTTTCATAGCACTGCACACAGAGATCGAAATCCTGCAACAAGAGAGATACAACAATAAACATTTGCAAACTTCAACGAATAATCGAAATTGGTAACATCGCAAACCCATCTCGGTTTTGAATAGGCGGGAAAGTTAAATGAAAAATAACTGCTAAGGGATAAAAACACGCAGTTCTGTTGTGGGACATTTTTAAGTCCTAGATTATGCAGACAAACACTAGGAAAGTAAAAATAAAAGCACAAAATCCCTAAAATCTTGAAGATCAAATCTTCTTGGCCATGACAACAGCCACGTCAGGTTCCTCTGAAACACTTGTATATACTGTTGCATGTGTGACTACAGAAGGGGTTCCAATAGCATTTGGATTTACTGAACTTTTACAGAATGTAACTATAACTAACTACTATGGCTTCCTCGGCCTCGGCGTTCACATCGATGTTCACGGCCTCAGTGTTCACATCCTTCCTTGTTTCCGAAACTGGATCTGTATCCATCCTCAGGTGAAGGAAAACCCTATTCTGTTGGGTCCGTTAGAAAAAGCTAGCCTCAATCACTGGACAAACCAATGTCACAAAACATGAAGATTATAAACACCTGAGACCAGACTAAGTCCATGAGAGCTAACAAGAAAAATATTCATAACAAATTGTTGCAACCACATACAAGCGTGGAACTACGATAGATATATCTGTAGAAATTTATGCCAGGAAACCGAACTCATAACCAGGTCCATGACCCCACGGTATGGAATAGAAAGAAGAACTAGTAACAAAAACTAATAGTGTCTTAACTAGTGTCAACAATGGAGTAAATCACGTCTATCTAATTTAGAACGTAATAGAAATGGATAAAAGCATATATCACGTCATACAGATCTTCTCTGTGAATTGGTGACTTCATTGCTGATAATGGGGATCCAAATTTGTTATGAATATTTTTCTTATTAGCTCTCATGGACTTAGCCTAGTCTCAGGTGTTTATAATCTTCATGTTTTGTGACATCGATTTGTCCAGTGATTGAGGCTAGCTCTTTCTAACGGACCCAACAGAATAGGTTTTTCCTTCACCTGAGGACGGAAACAGATCCAGTTTCCGAAATGTCGTGTTTTTATTAGTTATCTTAAAAACCAGGACGATGGATAAAGTCCAAAAACCCAATATATCAGTGTGTTATACACCATCGCCAGAATCCTATAGTAACAACTTAATGAGTTTACATGCTATGCAATGTCTACCAAACACGATGTCACACACATCCCAAAGATCTAACTCCTCATATTCACTACTGCATGAACCTAAATCTCTCAACTAAAATTTCAACTTTTACAATGGTTGTCAACACTGGAATTACAGAAGCTTGGAAATTTTGATTCTGATTTAAATTTTCTTCAAGCTCTTCAGAACTCCCTTTCATGATCTGTTTTTTAGATTACCTAATAATACCTTCCCACATGCGTAAGTTATAGCACTGAACTAGGTGGAGGGGCGACTGAGAATGACAAATTGGGAAGCAGATGCCGTGACCTGTTTCAGGGTACTATCCCCACATGTCTATAGGTCTAGGAAAACCACAAAATAACCAATACGGATAACCAATTCTGAGCTATGATCTAAACCCAGAAAGTCTTCAAATACATGCATGGGCACTAACTACTCAGCCACAATACTCAACACACAGTATGAGAATTATATCACATATACAACACATCATAACTATGAAAGCATTCACACTGCTTTTCTCCCTCCCAGAGATATGTAGGTAAGTCAATAAGTAAGTTACAAATGGATATAGAACTTAAACAACGAGTACTGATTTGAAAAATGCTCTTATTTCTGAACATAATCTCCCTGTACATTGAGGCACTTGTCCCATCGTTTCACAAGCCCCTGAAAACCAGCAGCATAAAATTCTTTGGGCTGCTGTTGGAACCAGGCGCTGACTTCCTTACGGAAGGGTAACTATAGACACTATAGCCACTGCTATTGGTTGTTCATATGGCATGGCCTACCTCATAATGCATGACAGGTTAGGTTTTCACAAAGTCTGTGCACGATGGGTGCCCTGCATGCTGACCCCACAAAACAAAATACGAAGAATGGGTCTGGCATTAGAGCATCTCAATCGCTACCACAATGAAGGACATGCTATGCTAGCCCGAACTGTCATAGGTTACGAGTCTTGTTCCAAGCAACTTCCATTTGTTCGGCCCTCTTAAACGTCATGTTTCGGCTGAACATTTTCCCCGATGATGATGCTGTACAAAGGGAAGTCACCATCTGGTTCTGGCAGCAGCCCACAGAATTTTATGCTGCTGGTTTTCAGGGGCTTGTGAAATGATGGGACAAGTGCCTCAATGTACAGGGAGATTATGTTGAGAAATAAAAGCATTTTTCAAACCAGTACTCTTATTTGTTTAAGGTCTATCTATATCCATTTGTAACTTACTTGACTTACACTCGTATATTACAGGGTCAACTAACTTCCAGATTATTCAGCAGGCTGTGTAAAATATAGGAGTAGCATTTATTTCACATACTGGGTACAACTCAATTTACACCGATATATTTTTAATTTTCTTTGTCAGTTTTTACACATCAGGTTCTCTGGCCTGTTCCAGCTCCAGTTCAAAATAAAGTTCTGGACCAATGGTAGGACTCCATGGATGGGAGATAACCCATTACAAGGCTTCTACATATAATAAGAAGGAAACACTGCCAGAAGAAATATGGACATACAGCCATGTTCTGAATGGGATTGAAACCCATGTCTGAGTGGCTGAAGGCAGTACAAGTCTCAGAATGCGTGGCCACCTTGGTACAGTCAACTTTATCCGCTGTTACTGTCCATTTTTTAAACAATCAAAATCATAAATACAGACTTCAAACCACATGTTCATTAAATTTACTGAAGAACTGATTTTAATCTATTTATATCAATAGTAAACTACAACAACACTTACATCACAGACTGTGCAGTGGTACCGTGTCTCCACATGGCCCTTACAATTGTTACAGGTGTAGACGAACCTGTCCTGGCCTTGGTTATGGAGTTCATACAGCATCGACATAGATGAAAATTTGGCTCGCCGCAGTGATGAGAATTCGTAGTGACGTTCACGTGCCATTGTTAGGAACGCATCACGCCCATCCATCAGGTCACAATTGATGAATGGATCTGGATCTTGAATTGGCTGTATAAAAAGAATATTCTCCACATTAATGCAATACACAAGAACTCCTATTTTCATCTGCTAATTCAGACTATATATTTCAATTTATTACGGATCAATCTCACAAAAATCATATTTATTTTTATTAGAATTGTCTGCAACCCTGCCATTTTAGTTGGGTCCCTTGTGACCATGACATGACGCATCCTCAGGTTGCGGATGGAGGAGACAGCCTCCAGATGTCTTCCTGCAGTTTTTCTTCTGCCGTGCCGCCACTTCCACGCGGCAGCTAGTTCCTATGTGAGCGATGGCCAATTCTTTGTGGGGCCCATGAATTTCCCCCGGCAAATCTTTCGGTTTCTGGCGGCGGCGCTCCGCAGCCAGTTTTCGGTCCCTACACCATTTCCTCGGTTCTCCGACCGGCATTATCGTGGTGTCTGCTACGGGGACTTCTCTCTGTGTCGCCTCAGGTTTAGTTTCCACTGAGGTCAGCTTTCCCTCTTCTTGACATGTCTCCATCTCTTGGCAGGCCAACGTCTCATCGCAGGTATTCGGTGTTTCTTTTACGCGTACTTTGACCGGCATCACCATAGCATCTTGTCCGGGTACTTCTTGGTGCTCCACTATGAACTGCATCATCCTTTCCATCACTTCTTTCATTTCTTTTCGGTCAGTCTCTCTCTGGGCCTTCCTTTCTTCCCTCTCGGCCATCCTATCGGCCTCCGCCTGTTCATGTCGGGCGTCGGCCTTGGCCTGGTTGGCGTCTGCTTTTTCTTGCATAGACTTCAAGAGCTCTAACACATGTTCCATTTTTCCTTTCGTAGGGTAGCACTAGGCGCAGAATAATTCGTTTTACTCGTCGCGTGTTTAAGTTCGTAAAACACTTCTGACACCAGTGTAGCGTGTTTTGTGTGTCACGCTACAAATAACTTTATGCCGTGTTTGATATAGCGAATTTATTCCACTCGCTCACCTTACACACTTTACAACCATTAGCTCTTGCAGTGTTACAATTACTGCTTACAATATCTCGGCAATACTGGACTGTCTTCTTCAGCAGTTGGATCAAGACTGACTTCCTCGGCGGTTGATTCCAGACTGCTTTTCGTCGAAGCTGGGCTATTTATCCCCTCGGCCGCTGCTATTCAAATGAACCCTCTGTTATAACCGTGGAAATGTTGCTTTGTTGGTTCCGCGATTCCTATGCAATGACCCATTGTTATTGCGTTGTCTCTGTGGGAACGCGTGTATTCATCGTAACCGTGGAGAGTCGATGTTTTCGACCCAACGGCTCACTGTTGGGATTACAGTGTTGCTATTGTTACTTCCTAGGCAACGGTCTGTTCTAGCGTTTCCATAGAAGTGACTCTTCTGGATTGCAAACACGTTACAATATTTATATGTAATTTAATCATTTTATGAAAACAGTTTCCTCATAGTGTTTACAATAACAATACCTATTAAACAAAAATTTAATAATCATGAAAGCACTAAAGACTTTTGATATGCAGATTTTCACTCTTACAAACCATACCATATGACCATTTTGAGTTAATGGTTGAGCGGCATCCAAGAATTGTGTCACATTTGCATACAATGTGAAGAACTGAAGGAGAGATCAGAAAGAAATTAACTAGGTGCAAGTCTTACTAGGAAAGCACTTGTAGGCCCAAAATGGAGAAGTGGAGAGATGTTTTCTTACAGGAACAATGAATCTAAATTCCACTGCAGGAGTCAAGACCACTGCTTTTGTTATTGCCGGTCTGGGAATCACACCCGAATCCTTCTCCAGAAGGAAGCGGAACTATTGCTAGAGTAAGCGGAGTTGTCGGATCGTGCTCACACTGGATGATTTTACTATGTTACAAAATTATTATGTATGGTTTTTTCCCTTCCTTGTCGCAAAATACTGACCGCCTCTGTGGTCTAGTAGTCAGAGTTCCTGGTTATAGATTCAGAGGTCTGGGTTCGAATCCTAGCACAAGATTTTTTCTGAGAAGTAGTGGGTCTGGAACAGGGTCCACACAGCTTCGTGATGATAACTGAGGAGCTATTTCAAGGAAATAGCGGCTCCTGTCTACAAAACCGAAATTAACGGCCGTGGGGATTTGTTGCACTGACCACGCGACACCCTTGATCCGCTAAAGTTGGCATTAACTTCGCCTACAAGCGGTGGTCGCTCGGTCAGTATAGTTCACTTGCGGACTAAAACCACAGAGTTTGTTACAAAATATCACTTGAATAATTTTTCTTTCCACAACTGTGAACTTCTTCATTCAATATGTCAATTAACTGTCTTTAGTATGTCACTAAATCAGATTCAGTTCAAAAAGCATGATGGCCAGGGAAAGGTGGGGGGAAGGGTAGCAGAAAGGGAAGAGATACTTCAAATCCAGGGGACAGAAGCTGAATTTTCATGCACAGTTTATATATTTTCCAAGAACTTAAAATCGTTGGCTGCAATGTAGTTATGTAAATATGGAATAATGATCCTCAATCTTTCTACAGTGTATATTTCATTACATGCTGATGTAAAATACAACCCTTTGTGGTGTCCAACACAAATTCTTATTTTTTTTATTTGCTCACTTTCCATTTTCAAATGTACATTTAAAAAAACTGAGTTGCTCCGAGATGTCGTCATATGAAGAGACAACAACTTGCTAAACTATTCTATAATATTTATTATAGTTGCTCAGTATACACAGACGAACTTGAGTTTGAATAATTGAAAAATAATAACAGTAGTGAACTCTGTAATACCTTGAACGCTGTACTGAAATGCAACTCTGAACTGGAATTGTAGAACTTCCACTCAATGTATCTTCTTACATAACCTAGAGTCGGACCTATAGAAAATATGTCAGTGTCCGTATTGTTGTAGGCTTTGCCTAGCACTGGCTGTTTACTCAGCCGTTGCTAGGCAGCGAAAGGTCTATATGTGACTATGGGAAGCACCCAGTGGATCGTGTGCCAGCCAATCACAAGCTAAATTTGTAAATATATGTAAATAGTGACAATGGACTTACTGACACACAAATGAGACCCAACCTCTCGTCAGAGAGGGCGCCTCAAATGAACAGGACAGTAACTCTCATATAAGAAAAAAAGAAAAAATCTGGTCATGACAGACTGACGGACCATCAGTCGCAATGTGGCTTGGGCTTGGAAGAATTCTAGTTCTGAGTTGCATTTGAATACAACATTCAAGGGATTATAGAGTTCACTACTGTTATTATTTTTCAATTCTTCAAACTCAAGTTCGTCTGTGTATACCGAGCAACTATAATAAATATTACAGAACAGTTCAACAAGTGGTCGTCTCTTCATATAACGACATCCCACATTACCTTCAAACAAATCCCCAAAATACTGCCCTATGCTCTTATTCATGCAGTTACACATGATAAAGTCTAAGACAAAGCATATAACACTATTTCCACAAAGTGATCCCATGCCATGACAAAGAATTACGGATCATCTTTCAGTGAATAACAAGTTGTTACTGATAACATGTTCCAAGAGTGAAACGACTCTTCAGTGCAAGGGGAATTATCAGTTCTTAAATTATGGAGTCCAAAGACAGTAACTGAAGTCACAGAATAAGTTACCCACGTAACACAGGAAAGACACTTGTCTTCAGTAATAAGCACAAATGAATCAAGAACCCCTCAAGCAAATTATAGGCTGATAACAGTAAGGATAACAAGCTTCAATTCTTAACACAAGAATTATGACAGCTCTCAATGTAGTACTCACCGCTAAGCTGGCAGCCGACTGCGCTGAGTGAAGCCTTATCACAAAAAATACTTCTTTGTGCTTCTCCATTGTAGCAAAAATCTTTGCTGAGAGATCATTGCCTGTCTGAGGAGTGTTGGACTTTTTACTATTTTTACGCTGATTTGCTTTTGACTTGTTTGACTTCTTCGCTTTTTTCTGGCAATTCTTTTTACCATCAGGCCCTGCTTCACTTTCTTCCTGAAGCGAAAAGATCTAGGAAAAAAGAGAAACCGCATACACATTTAACTAAGAGTAACACCACCCTTTTAATGGCATAAAAGGTAACGCTATCCTGTAACAGGCCGTGAGACGTCAAGGCTCCCACATTTTCTCTAGACAAGCTGGTTACATATGGAAGTAAGCTTGCAGTCATACATGCCTGCTGCCCTTTACCCCCCCCAGGAAGATTCCTGGTACTCATTTTTATGAGAGGCTAAGCCAAACCCAGGGCCATATTGCAGCTGGAAGGATTAGGTCAAGTGAAAAAAAAAATACACCTCTTGGGGACTCGAACCTGTGACCTTCCGGCTTGTAGCATAGTGCCTGAACCAACTACGGCATTCATTAATAAAACATTCCAGTACCAACAACTCTGTGACAATGTAAGGACATAAAACTTGAAGCAGTGTACCCCACATCTGGATGACAGGTATGTCCATCGCCAGTCAAACGTTCAGAGCAAATGGCATGAAAACCCCTCACTCTAGCATGTTTCATATTGCAGGACGGAAGATTTTCACCCATGTTGCTGCTTAACACTTTTCACAAGTAACCACAAGTGATCCCCTGCAGTAAGCTCCTCAGCCTGTGTTCATGGCCAGTGCATAGTCAAAATAATCATTCTATAGGCCGCCAGTTTCACATCAGGTCCCTAATATGCCACTTCACACAAGGATTACCATATTTGCAGTAATATAACGCATATTTAATTAAATTTGCTCAAATACACTATTCTAACATACCACACAACCAAACAAAATAGTAAGAGGAAGTATTTGCATAAAGGATGTTAAACTCACATTGGCTGCAGCAGCAGCTGCCTCAGCTGCCTCTGCTTGCTTCCTCTTTTCTTCCTCCTCCTGGTCCAACTCTTTGATGCTCTCTTCAAGGACATTGGGCCAAAAGTCACCTTCGAAATATGGAAGTTCCGCTGCGGAGCTTAACTTATCCTCCACCGCTTGTTTGAGAATATCCTGAAATCATTACATCACAGGTTTTGGGTTTCACTTTGCATGAATGTTAAAAGTTGCAGGACTTGAATACAGGGAGAAGTTTCTCTTTTCTCCATAGCACCAGGCTTCCTACCCAATAGCATTGGGTGTGAAACAGCCAGGGCACAAAACTGACCCAACACCTCCACTGCCAAGGTTAACTAACAATGCATGGAGCTACACCTTCAATCCCCCACACTTCCAAGGTGTACTACTTGAGCACAGGGACAACTTTACCTTTAACTTATATAATAAAAATATCCTACAAGTTATCATTTTAACCANNAACTTGAGGGCAGTTTCGGATGAATGTGAGAATTGAACGTGCATTCAACAATCCTAACAAGTGTTGTGCTTTTACACGTCGACGTATTGTAGCAGCGTTCACGCAGCAAACATAACTGTGTACATCTTAAACAACGGCAGTGTTTTCATGCTTGTACTATGTGCCTCTGATGACGGTTTTATTAAACCGAAACATGTAAGGCAGAAGTGATAAAGAAGTGACCTATAAATTGTTACACTTGATGGACTTTTTATTGACTTTGTCATAAATGAGATTTCATACCTTGTAATCAAGAACTATCCTCTCGATGATGCCTTTGTCAAGCATCTTTTTGTACCATTCCTGTAGCCGTTTCGGCTTAGGAATCTTCTGCTCAGCAGGGTGGCAGTGGAAGATATAGTCATCTCCTTCCGAGGGGGGACATGCCCAGATGTGTGCCATCGTATACCTGCAATTAATATTAGTACATAAATCAACAAACATAATGGACACCACACAGTACGATCACATCATACTGTAAAACAGGCAAATTTTCACATATTTAGCATTCATAACCTAACTAGGAGCGGTATATATATATAAATCCACTTAATGGTACAAAAAAGACAAGGGGCTTTTGGAAGCTGAAACCTAGTTCATCTGTCTGTACATTCTTTATATGAGATGAAAACACCATACCATATCTGACACAAGTTACTTACAATACACAACAAACAGCAAACCACAGTTGGAGGACACGGTCCTGATATGGTAACAAGCAGGCTCAAGTACTTCTTGTAATAAGAGCAGATATTTTGAACATTTATTCAGATATGCTCAAGTTCTTACACTCTTAAGTAAAATCACATTTTAAGACTTCGCGGACCGGTGATTTAAATATTTAAATCACCCTGGGGACCAGCGTTTTTAAACCTACTACCCTAACTTGTGCACTGTTCACTTTAAAAATTAATATAAAATCTCCTAATTAATTTTATGAACTAAAATTTTTGGAGAAGACTTACCAGAGCTCCTAGAAGTGCTTCAGAGTGTGATATTTCTGGAAACATTCCCCTCTGGATCAGTGGACCAATAGTCTTTCAAATTATCCCTCTTTGTAAACCCCATTAGAATGATTATTGCCAAAAATTTTTTCATTTCTGTTGAAGTGACATCCACCCACTTCAACACCTTATAGGTACTGTCTTACGCCTCACGGTGTAGGAGATAGTATCTGTTGGTCTCCTGACACAACATGTCAAAGAAACTATCTCCGAAAAACAGTTCAGCTACTTCAGACATTTGTGTAGGGTCTGATGGCATTTGTCTCACCTCTGGATCACCAGTAAACTTTCCCAAAGTGGGTGTTTTGTTCACTTTACCCCATGTGGCTGTTCCCGCAATGCTAGCACTCGCACTTTCATTGGAGCTCTCACTGTCACTTTCACTTTCTCTTCTGGTCACAATATTTTGGGGGCCACTGCCACTGACACTGCCCTCGCTATCATAAGACGAAGCAGTTGGCAAGTCAGATAACTCATCTGAGATCAAATCACAGATTTCTTCTTCTCCGAGAGCTCGTGCGGCCTTCAACTGCTTTCGTCTCTGAGCCATGTTGACACTGAGAATATCTTGCCTCACACATAGAAGCTTTGACTTGAACAAAGGGACTTTTCTTTAGAGTGAGAGGGGAATAGAGTGTGGTCACGTTGCTGACTCGGAAAACAAACATTCCAAAGGTCAGCTATGCAGTCTTTTACAGACACGTGGCACCAAAGCGACGAATAGTGTGTTGCAAGATAACATGTCCTAAAAGCCTAAATCTAGGCGACCGGTCTGCCACGTTTAAAACCCAAACGCCTAGGCCTAGGCATCTGGTCCACGAAGTGTTAATTACATATACATTCATAAAGCTGTTCATTAATTGACCTATAAATCGGGAGGAAACTTTAATTATCAAAGAAAATAAAGAGACTCTGGCAATCTTTGTGTGAGATTATTTACTCTTCTTATTCTACACCACAAATCACTGAACATACAGGTTATTATATATACATAAAAAGCATAGCACTTCTTGTTCAGTTGTCCTGAGAACCATATAACTTATGGATAAGTCTACTGCACCTAGAATGCTTTCCATATTGTCTAAACTTCAGTCTAACACATTTCTCACCTCTATAAATATTTAATGAGTTATGCTAGAGGTATGAACAAAAACACATGAAGGTCTTCATCTAAGGTGTCCATTATTTTAGATCAATTTTAACTAAAAGTCAAATGTTTTGATATATATCAGCAAATTTCACAGAAGGCCTGTCTTTCAGGTTTTGCTTGCATAAAGATGGATGGAATGACATGGGCCTAAACCTGCACATAACATAACTAAATAACTCCACAGTGCACAGACCGTATTAAGAACAACAAAGCAGGTTTTCTAGCCATGAAACTGCATGCCTCTTAAAGAACCACCATCATTATGCAGTTTTCTCCAGCCTCCCATCATTTCATCTTTCTTGGACTGAAGACAGATGAAGTGACAGGAGGTTGGAGAAAACTACATAATCAGGAACTTAATAAGTCATGCTCTTCTCCAAGTGTAATCAGAATGACCAAGTTCATGCTGATGGGATGGGCATGGCATGAACGGGGGAGAAGAGAAATGCATTTGGATATTCATGGGAAAGCCACAAGGAAAGAGACCATTAGAAAGACCAAGACATAGGTGGGTGTACAATATTAAAATGGATGACAGAGAGGATGGGATGGTATGGACTGGATCACTTTGCCTCAGGATAGGGATCAGTGGAGGGTTCTTGTGAACATGGTAATGAACCTTCAGTTTCCATAAAATGGGAAGTTACTACGTAGCTGCACAATTGGCGGCTTCTCAAGAAGGGCTCAGCTCCATGAGTGAGCAAACACCATGTCCACAAGGACACACCACTGGATCCCATCCTGATTATAACAAAAATTCTAAATGGAAATAATCAATATCATGCAACTCCACACTTTACAATTCAGTAATGAAATTGTGTAAATCAAAACACCTGAGGATGACCCTATAAGGGTCGAAACATGTAGTAGAACATAAATTAATAAATTATAGTTGCACTAACAGTGGAATTTGTATTATTAGCTACCTCTGTTACGATTGATAATAATTCTACATTATCTTAACAGAAAGCTTCCCTAGCAAAAACAGAAGGAACTACAATGCATCAAACTTACCCTAACTGCTTAACATAGTCGAGATAACCCAGAAGAATCTCATGGTAGACAGCAGTACGAAACTGTCGAGGGCGGAAGAAGTGCACCGAGTCCAGATAAGCTATGTACACGCGGCGAGTGTTTGGACAAGGGCACTCGGACCCATATTCTTGGACATGCATTCCAAAAAAACACACATCAGTACCATCCACCTCCTCGAATGCGAAGAGTGCCTTTGCTCGATACGGGAACTGTTCTGGCAGGTCACCGGGCTCCACAAACCTAGCCAGAGAACACAGTACAAGTAAACAACACAATTTATAACTACCACAATTTCTGTATGTGTATACTACTCCAGATGAAATTACCATGACTCATGACTCACTGGGATACGAGACATCTTTGAGAACATGTCAATTCACACATAATTACAAACTTAGTAAAGTGTCAATGCCCGCAGTCGCTGTATGTGGTACGGAAACAAGTTGATGTACCATCGGACATATAGCGCATGGTACATTTCTCTCAGCTGACAAGCAGCACAGTGACTTCTGTGGACTCTGAATCATGGCTTGCCGAATGTCTTTCTCCATCTTCTGCCTGTGTGAGGTATAGTCAGACCATTTCCCAGGAACATGCACAATTTCACAATGTCCTGACGTGAATGGACATAGTGAATTGTACTGACATCGAAAAGCTTGCCATGTCCTTCTAACACTCGAAAATTTTGCATACTATAAGACGCACTGTCACGGTGTGACCGCTAGCACTGCCACGCGGCTGAACCGCCTGCAAACCCTCCATTCACCTTACAAGAACATCCTTCCATTCATATTCAAGCAAACTGCTCGGATATATGTACATTAACTTTGTATTCAACAGTTTACTTTCCTAACATCTCAGATGGATCACTCTGTAATTTGAGCAAATTGGCTGAAGTGGTGATACTTTGGACTTATGTCTGGTAGTGACCAGTTTGGATATTGGCTGGAATACCAACTATGCAGATCAAGTTCTCTTGCGGATAGCCTAAGTCCCTTCCAGGAACTGCTGTTATAGCAGCTCAATTTACAAAATGACCACTTCATTCCACACTAATTCAAATTCATTTTCACCACTGACACTTTCATTCTACACTACAAAATCTGAGCAAAAAGAAACCATACAACAAACAACAAAAATGCTGACACATAACTCTGAAGTTTCATTTTTCCTCATTCACGATATAACAAAATCAGGAAGCTTGAAGCACTAACACTTCTGATTTGCATTTGGCAAGTGTCTGGCGTGAATCTTGGCCGGTACTCCAACTATCCTAACTGAAGTTTATCATGTATATTGTTAGCTACTTCAGGTCAATGTTGGGATAGTACCTCAAATTAGGACATGACATTCTTACCCTATTATCCACTGCTATACAGCATGAGCTAAATAAACAAAAATATAAATAGAGAAATAATGATGTTGACAACTGACTGTAATATTTAATTTTCTCTCATTCACAATATAATAAAATCAAAAGAAGTTGGCACTCAACCTTCTGAATTGTATTTGACGGTTTCCCAGACTGTATCAAAGTTGGGACACTGCCTATCCTGCCTGACATTGTTCATAAATATCCTAGAGCTTTCCTGGCAAATGCCGGGACAGAACCCAAACATTAGGCCAAGACTGCTTCCTTTCAAAAACTCTGCAATTCATTAAATGTGCACAGAGTACTAGTTCTGTAGAACATGGCCCATTTTATGATCTTCACTTAGTTCAAAGTATGNTCTACCCTGAAGATGGAGGCGATACGTTCCTCCGAAACGTCGGTTAACACCACATATACACGGTGCCAAATCCCAGAAGACTGCTTTCTTTATGATGCTTACTGTTACAAAACTGACATGAACACGAGAACGTGACTAAATCATAAAGTGAAAAGTATTTTTCATACTTCAATTCCAATTATTCTTCCTTGGATTTTTTTTTTTTTACAAATCTCACACACAAACCTGTTTCTCATGCCAGGCTTCACTTCCACGATCTTGTCAGAACTGGCAACAACCCGAATTGCCACTTCGCCAGCACCTGCCTCTTTCTTCTTAAGGAAGTTATTGACTCGTGTTTCAATATACGTCCCAAGTTTTGTTATGGGTAACCGTTTTGCATTGAATTTGTTCTCTTTTCTTTTTGCACCTCTCTTCTTCAAGCAATTATCACACACAAATCTGTCATCAAGCAATTACAATCAAATTAGAAAAGTGAAAGCACATACACAATTATACAGAAACACACATAAATAATATGACATGTATCTTGCTTCTCTTAACTCACCCCTGAGGCCAAATAGACTCCATGTGAAGAACACAGATTTGATGAAGTTTCCTTCCACAGTCTTGACACTCTACAAATGGTTCCAATTCCAGATGATCATTTTTCATCTCCTTAAATTGGTCCTTCTTTATTGCCCTGTATGATTAGATTAAGTACATACATTAATGCAAAGTAACCAACTGAAGGATGAGATGGGCAAACATGAAGCATGCATGGGGGGAATGATATATATATATATATATATAGGCTGTCCCAGGATGAATGTGCCAGACTTCGGGAGGGTGTTCCTTATGTTGAAGTATGCCAATATAACCCAAAACACCTGTGTCCAAAGTTGAACGGTTACGGAGATAATGGCCCAAGAAAAGTGTGTGGCGGCTCCACACACTGTAACCTATCACCTGACAAGTCTTATTATAGGATTCTGAGGATGGTGTATAACACACTGATATATTGGGTTTTCCCACTTTATCCAAGATAACTAATAAAAACACGAAGTTAGGGAAGGAAAGTGGATCTGCTTCCCTCCTCAGGTGAAGGAAAACACCTATTCTGTTGGGTCTGTTAGAAAAAGCTAGCCTCAATCACTGGACAAACCAATGTCACAAAACATGAAGATTATAAATACCTGAGACCAGGCTAAGTCCATGAGAGCTAATAAGAAAAATATTCATAACAAATTGTTGCAAACACATACAAGCGTGGAACTAGGATAGATAGATCTGCAGAAATTTATGCCATGAAACCAAACTCATAACCAAGTCCATGACCCCACGGCATGGAATAAAAAGAAGAACTAGTAACAAAAACTAATAGTGTCTAACTAGCGTCAACAATGGAGTAAATAACGTCTATCTAATTTAGAACTTAATAGAAATGAATAAAAGCATATATCACGTCATACAGATCTTCTATGTGAATTGGTGACTTCATTGCTGATAATGAGGATCCAAATGGGAGAAAAGTCCAAACTGTGTTGGCTAATTGGGTTGGCCAAGCATGCCATATGGGCCGCTTCCTAGTATTTCCTATAGCTGATGTGGCTTTCAATATCCAAAATCTTAGCTTCATCCCAGCCTACCCTATGTCCCTCTTCATAGGCATGTTGGGCTACTTTAGATTTTTCTAGAAGACCTTCTTTTAGGTTATGCCTATGTTCCCGGAGCCGCACGGCCAGAGGTCTGCCTGTTTCGCCAATGTACCTTCTGCCACATTCACAGGGAATGCTATAGACGCACCGTGCCATCAGTTGCGGATCTCTTTTCGGTCTAGTTTTCATAAGGCAGTTCCTAAGTGTGTGTTTCGTACGGAAGATGGTCCTAATATTATACCGATTACCTATCCGTTTAAACTTTTCAGAAACACCCTTCACATATGGAATATAAACAGAACACAGAGGGCTTTCCTCTTTCTTCGGACGACTACTGCCCTTGGAATTAATGAC